AAGAAACGCTCCCGAAGTTTGACGACTATGCCGTCATTGATAATGCTGTATCCCACTCGAGAAAAGTAAAAAATCCCACAATGTCCACAAGAAAGGCAGACATTCAACAATGGCTCCTAGCAAAAGACGTTAGTTTTAATAGAAATATGGTCAAAGCAGAGCTGATCCATCTAGTCAGGCAGCACAAATAAGGCTACCCCCTGCACAGGAAAATACGTATCTGTACAATCACGCTTTTGGGCATGTTGTGTTTTGTCTAAGCGTAAATGGAGTGCAAATGGGGTATAGTTCTCGAAGTCGTGATCACGTCACGCTTTGTCACCATATCAGTTACTAAATCACAGTTCATATAATATCTGTCACCACTCAGCGTCCAAAGTTACCGAGCTTCGTTCGCTTGTCATTACGGGACCCTTTCACACCCACGGGCCACCTTCTATCGCTGTGCCAACGGGCAGGGTTCCTACCTTTGGTAACCATATTCAATATATCATTTTTATTGATTCATAATTCAATTGTTATTATTTATGAAATTGTAAGTTTCAAGTTTTTTCATTCATTATTACTTCCCACGCCTATTGACGGTATTTTCTACAGTCGGGTATCGATACGTATGACGGGATCCCCCGATGGACAAGCGGTCATCGGTGGTTGCATGTCACAGTAGGCAATCGCTGCGGCACCGCTATGAGCTGTGTGCACTGTGCACGGTGAATGCCAATATCGTCATTAATGCGGGGTTTGTCATCGCAAGTGAAATTTGCGCTTGCAGCAATTCTTCTCAGGGGGAGGAGCTTAGGAAGTACAGAGTCAACTTACTTGACATCATTTTTATCCATTACTCACAAAAGTACAGTCAATTACACTACAGTCGCATCACCGACCGCGGAAAATCGTCGACAAAGACAAATTATCTCAAGGCTTTTCTGCACTTCACAAGCTGAGTTCCTTAAGGCGGCTCCGACGCAGTGAGTTTTTTAGCCATTTACTAGGGTTCAGCTGCTTCAAAACTGACACTCCGTTTTTCAATATTTTTCAATGAAATAGATACAGTATGTTGAGAAGATAATTACAGAGGGTGCTATAGGAGCACTTTTTGAAATTTTGTTTTTGCACAAGTTTTATGATGGGTTGAAGTGTGCACTTTTTCTGTTCAACTTCGCGATTTTTTTAAAAAGAACCTAGTGAAAAAAATGAAAAAGTGGCTCAATAGCACCCTGTGGGGTTTTGTTTTCAGCACACTGTGCAAATTTCATCCAAAAATATCAAAAAATAAAGCGTCAATTTCGAAGCGGGCAAACCTCTACAAATCGTATTTTGGACGAATTTTGTCTACTGTTTCGTGCTGCCAACCCAAGCGTTGCGGAGCAATTTACGGTCTAAGAAAGGACGTATTCAGATAATTTGGTGGCCCTATTTCATATAATATTGCTGATACTCCTCGATTTTAAAGCCGTTTTACTTCCCACGCCATTGGCGAGGAAGTATTGTAATCGCGAAAAATTTCTAAAATGAGGTGTTATGTTTTTTAAGGCATATGACATCTACATTACAAAAAACTGTATCACTCATCATCGATTTAGAAATTATCGTTCGGATTTTTATGGAATTTCCACACGGGGTTACTAGTATGCCAAAGCTTTGTAGTTCTACTCCAGTGGCAATGGTGCTATAGGCAAAAAAGAAAAAGTAATAATTGCTGAAACTCCGTTTTTGACGTTTCAGGGTTTCCCAATCATTGACATAAAAAAATTGTACTGCTTAAAAAGGGGTGGTTGAAATCAGTGAAACACGTTCTATTATCAAGAAGTTTCTGATCCCAGTGATTACGGGAAATTTAAGTAACCGGCAGTAGGGATTAATAAATTCGGATATCACTCCAGTCAAGTATAGGGGAATTTAGCGTGGAACTTTAAAATTAAAATCGAGACGCTGTCAACCTTATCCTCCGTTGAAGACGCCACAAAGTACAGTCCTGTGATTTGGTGACTTGTTCGATCTGCAAAATCTCGTCGTCACTTTTTTTAAGTTTCCCTGACAATTTTCGCTTAGCAACCTCCAAATCAATGTAGGTAATATCAGGTTTTTGGCTGAATTCGCCATAAAGCTATTCATTTTCTTTGGAATTGCTATCCTAATTGTTAGTTATTTTTATATCAGCTTTTTTTGATCTGAGTTTCTTTTCAAGATTCTTGCGTTTGAGTCTTTGTTCCATCTGAGTGATAAGCGAGGTTGGACTAAGCTTAGAACGCAAATGTATTTGGACCAAATAGACAGGCCGCTCGGTATTGTGGCTCACTACTTCTTGCAATAATTCATTCGCTTACCCCAATGTATTTTGCGATTATAGAGTTGAACTGCTCCAAACTATTGTTGTCCTCATCATGAATTAAACTCACTGCATTCTTAATTAAAATTGTCGCATATGACCTTTTATTGTCCATTATCAACCTTAATAAAAAAGGCACTCAAGAACAATCACACCAACAAGAGTATCTACAGTACAACAATTCAGCAACACAATGTCGACGAACATTAACAAAGGTTGAACAGTACTAAATGATCACTTGCTGAGTACCAAAATAGGAAACCAGCCCACCATCGTTTCCTTTTCACCCCCCCGTTACCTCAGCAGATGGAGCTCGTGATTGTAGGAGCCCCGTTAAGTGTGAACAAATTTCAACAACAAATCTATGACGATAAAAAAAATAAATGAAATGCCTGTATACTCCGATGCAATACACTTTGACGCACGCCACTGGTGGTCAATTTTTGCTCTCGTATGAAGTGCCTGAACCAATTATTCGTCCGCCAAACAAGGTGTTGTTAACGGCGATTATCTTATCATTACATTTTTATCATTAATCTTCACGCGTTTTGCTCTCATTGTACACTCAAAAAATTGGGAAATTACCACCTGCATGTACAGGGCGATTGACGGAATAATACCTCGATGAAAAATCGAAAAAATAGTAGGTTTTCGTTAAAACAAATTCCTTCACAATACGTGCCATCATACAATTGCAGACAGAGGATATATATATATAGCCCTTAACATGAGGCTCAAGTGGAAGCACCATATCAAAAAAAAGGACAGATCAGCACTCCAGTAAAAAAATAGACGCTAGGTCTGGCCAAGACGTGATATACAAAGCTTATTAAATGTCTAAAATCAAGCATATTCTTCTGTGGCTCGAAAAATATCTAAAGTGATACCAATCTTCAAAGAAGGATCTGTTGTCGAACTCCCCAATCATTGCCCTATATCAGAGTTCCCCAAACTTTTTTGTGTCGTAGACCCCTTGCCATGTTTTTCCGTGTTGGGTAAACCCCCTACTTACCTGTTATTGATTTCCTGTAAATTTCTAACTGTAGTGAAGTTTAGTATTAAAAACTTAAAGTAAAAACACATGTTAATTTATACATTTATTAATTGAATTTAAATTAAAACTACTGAAAATAATCTGTTATGTAAAATATACGTAACATTAAATAAACAGGTGTCTGACCAATAAGTGCCCGCATTTCGAATAAGTGCCCGCATTGAAAAAAAAAATAAGAGGAATAAAATAAAAAAAAGTGAAAAATAATAAAAAAATAGTTTTTTATTTAAAATAGTACAATAAGCGAGTTAGTTTGATTAAATTTCGCTTCTTATACGTTTAAGTTATCTAAAAATAGGCAAAAAATTAACGAATTTTAATGTGTACCTATCCTTGAATTTTCAGAATAATTTAAAAAAAATATATTTTCTATAAAGGGGGGTCCTTTAAAAAAATCAATGCGGGCACTTACTCCCAATGCGGGCATTTATTGGTCAGACACCAATAAACATAAAATAAACTATAAATAAAATAACATAAGCAATAAGTCAATACTTTTAGTAAGAAGGATGAACCTGATGCTTTAATAATAAATTATCAACATTTGGCGTCAATTTTGTAAGGGTTAATCTTAAATATCCTCGGCTAATGATGTCCAGTCTGTTTCTTTTTTTCGTTAGGAGATTGGTAATAGCGCTGAACCCCCTTTCCACTATGAGGTATGACGATGGAAAGGAAATTAAAAATGTCCTCGCTATATTCCATAATACGGGATAAGTAACGGGTATGTTGTTTTGCAGCCAGAATTGCTGATATCCGTTTTTAAACTGAACCTTAAGTTCTTCGTTTGTACTTAGTTCAGTCAGTTCCTCTTGTATTATGACATTCGTTTCTCCTATGTCACCATATGGATTAATTATCCACGGGGGTATTACCATAGTCAAAATATCCTCAAACCTAGATTCAAAATCTGAATAGAGTGCATTTTAATGTTGAACGTAAGTTGAAACGTCGTCTTCCTGGCAGCTTGTCTGTGACAAATTGAGGAACTGAGAAAATTCGCCCCGTCCAATATTTTGCTTCATTAGTTTAACTCTGGCAAGAAACGCTGGTAAGATGGACTTTGTTTTAATCAAATTTAAACTGTCGCCTTGTAATTGCAAATTAACCATATTAAATTTTGTAAACAAATCTGTTAAATAGGCGATGTCTGTTTTCCTCTTCATTAAATTTTCTTTTAAAATTTTATCTTTAGTATCCAGAAATTCTAAAATAGTCTCAAAAAGAGCAAAAAATCTTGTCAAACATAAGCCTTTCGACAGCCTGCGTACTTCAGTGTGAAGAAGAAATTGATGAAAGTGTTCGTCATTTTCTCAACACAACTGCACAAATAACCGCGTATTCAACGCGTTGCTTCGGATTCGGTTTACTGCATCAATGACTAAATGAAGTGATTAATGCAATCTAACACTCAAATTTTTAGCAACTAAGTGTTGTCGATGGATGACGCAATGTATTGCTAACACCCCTGACACATTTTGTTTTAAATAGCTTATAAATCCACGATAATGTCCACCAATGGCAGGTGCTCCATCTGTAGCTACTGATATTATATTTGATAAAGGAATTGCTTTTTCAATGAAGTAATCCTTCAAAACATAAAATATTGATTCACCTTTAGTGTCGGTTATCAAAGTTCTTGCGAAGAGCAGTTCTTCGTAGATTTCTTGATTCATAATAAAGCGAATATGCCAATAATAATGCTGCATTATCAGGTAAAGTTGACTCGTCCAGTTGTATAGAGAAATGGGTCGTTTGCAAATAATTACATAAGAAGCTTTCAATATCAGAACTCATTTCATCAATACGTCTTTCAACAGTATTGTTGCTTAAGGGAATTCTTTTAATGATATCAGATGCAGGTTTGTGTAAAACAGTTTTTAAAACCTCTTCAACGGCTGGCAAAATTAACTTCTCTCCGATAGTATGCGGTTTTCCGGATTTTGCTATAAGTAACGAGATATTGTAAGACGCCCGCAAACCATCATCATTTCTTTGTGACGTCGAAGCGAACATTCTGTCCAGTGTAGGTCTCTTCTAAAATTTATCTTTGGGTATTTAAAAGTATTTCAAATCTTTCTCTGTTCTATCAGGGTGGCATCTTCTCAGATGATCTTGCAGTTTAGATGGTTTCATAGCGTCATTGCCCAAAACTTTGTTGCATAAAAGGCACATAGGCGATTGTTTGTCCGGCAATGATGGAATAAAGCCAAATTTCAAATAATCAACACTGTACTGTCTACATTACTTTTTAGATTCGGACATGCCATCAGTCATCTGTGGGCAAAATTAAATCATTTAAATAAGACAGAACATCCAGCAGCTGTATATTAAAAATATTTTTTGATTTTTCCGAAAACATTCCATAATTCGAACATCTTCTTGCAACAATTAGCTCGAATTACGAAGATGGCACTGTAATTATATTACCGATTGCTAAAACTTTCAAAAAGAAACTATTGAGGAGTACTCGTGTAATTTTGCATGATTGAGTATTTAACTACTAATAACTAAAGTCATGATTGGCGTAATTTATCTATCTTTGCTAACTACGAGTACAAAACTAAAATTTAATAAAAAATAATGTACTTACTTTTCTCCAGCACTCTCAAACAAAATAACACTGACTCACTATAATTTGTGTGATATACTATCTGTTTATATTTTTAAAATATTTTCTTAGCACTTTCCTTTTCAAGATTCAGGAAACGAATAATCGTATTTGTCCCACTTTCGTATTTATAGAGTGACGAATTGAACAAGTCAGTGCAAGGTAGCGAAGCTCTGAGACTGCGACTCTCAGGTTTTTACAAGTTCAAAATGTATTGCGACCACAAAGCGAATACCAACATCCTACAACTTACACAATCTTATAAACATATATAATAAATTTTTTACTTCATAGGTACTTTTATAAATAATGTATATGTTTTGATATTATAAGATAGTATGATGTAAGTAAATAGGTACTATCAGTGTATGTGTTGAGATCCACTATCGTGGACCCCCATATCCATTTCATGGACCCGCAAATTTTTTTTCGTTGACGTAGACCCCTTGCAGGTTGTCATAGACCCCTAGGGGTCGATATAGACCACTTCAATATTATATCAATTATACCTTAATTTGCCAAAACAATCCATATTTTCCTCAAAGATCAATTCAGTAGGCATCTATTAAATACTTGTCGGTTTGGTTGCATGCATTTTATTTTACAAAATATTTAATTCAGAGAGAACAGCGAAACCCGTACAATATTTTCTTGTCCAATTTCTTGTCAAATAGGATGAAAAATTTGACATAGTATACAGTAGGCTTACATCAAATCATTTATTATAATACCTTAAGTTTATCTAAAAGGCATCAATGGATTGAGGCTAGTGATGTATCAGTTTGTAAGGAAACAGAGGAAAATTAATGGTTGACCAATTTGATCAGTTTTAATATTCGGACAAGAAAAATAATTTGTGTTTAGTATCGTGTACTTCTAAGCTTGATCGACTGTGAAGTCTACTGCCTCAGGCAACAGCGAGTTGCCGAACGATGCCCTGCGACTTGTTCTTGGTCCGTATGTGTAGATTTTTGATAATGAAACACTGTAATCAGATGTAAGTGTGTAAGTTTCCAGTGTGATGTAATAATATCCAGTTTCTCTGTGTATAATCAGGAATGTTTACACGGTCAGCGTGACCCCAGCTGTTAATTCCGATGATGATGGTGTAACATGGAGAAAAAGTGACGATAATAATCATTTATTTTTTAAAAACTGTTATTTCGGAAAGCGCCCGATTTCGCGGCGTTTTTATGAATATACGACTCGTTTTTTTTCTTCTCCGAAACGACCCGGTTTCAATTATGCTGCCTGTGCCGTAATTGAGATAATTTTTGAAGCAGCCTCTGGTACCGAGAGAGGTGAGAAAACGGCCACGTTTGCAATTTGGAAATACCGACAGCCGAGGAGTTAATTTTTTTCCGGAGTACGCCATTCGGGTTAATAAAACATCGCGGTGCAACTTCATTCTGCCAAATTGGATAATAACTGGAAGAAATGGTACTTGATACTTCCAGTTTCCGATTATGTTTCATGAATTGAAAATGGTGTCAAGTAGGATGACTTTAAATCTTCTCACGCTTGGTTATAAATTTAATTGGCTCGAATGCCGCTGGAAGTTAATGTACTTCGGGACTTAAAGGTACCATTGCTCAACATTTTACACTTAGCATGTGCCATCTAGAGACCCTTTAATTTATTTATGGATTGTTTTGCAACAAGTAAACGCAACAGTAAATGTTATGATAGTCATTATTTAAATATGTGATAGAGGGGGTTAAAAGCAGCAAAAAGTTTCATATAACATGGGGGTCAAAACGGCATTGTTTTTTAGAGAAAAGCGACTTTAAAGTAAAAAAAATCTGACAACGGACAATGCCCGACGCAAATTATGACGGAACGCAGTGTAAATAAAGATGGAGTTTGTTATTTTTGGCTCTTAAGTATTATTTCATTATTTGATAATGTACTCGTAAAATGCAAACAATTAAAAAAACGGACTTACCACTAACTGTCTCAGCGCTTCACCTGGTGTGTGAAAGTTTATTGACCGTATTAAAAAAATCCACTTATAAATAGGGTATACAATTTTGATACAAACATTGTTTTTCTTTTTAAATCCCACATTGCACTTTTTTGTATTTAAAGAAGGTGTTCAAAATGTCTTCCTCCACTTTCCACATAAGCTTCATTACGACGAAGCCAGTTTCTTCTTACACCAGGTCCTCGAAGTTGTCCATTTATTATTTCAGCCGCATTAAATTTTTTTTCGCGAAGTTGTGCTTCAGTTGTTATTGGACCAGCCCCATAAACCACCCCTTTAAGTTCTCCCCAGTACCAGAAATCCATCGGATTTCGACCGATCCAGCTATTTGGGTAATGTTCATTCAAATACTGAATGACGCCTCTAAAAATGTGTGGTGGTGCCCCGTCATGAAGAAACAACAAATTCTGTCTCCGTTGTAATGGCATGTTGTCTAAGGCCTGTTCCAAAAAGTTCTGGTAGGTGATTGGCTAGGTATCCTTCTCCTGACAGCTTTGGGGGTAACTCGAAAAGGCTAGTTACCTGATCGTCAAGAATACCGGCCCAAATATTTATTTTAAAACGTTGTTGGAAATTACTTTCACGAATGGTATGAGGATTTTCTTGGGCCCACGTGTGAGTATTATGAAAATTTAATATCCCTTCTCGGGTAAAAGTACATTCGTCCGTCGCTAGAATGTTTTTAAAAAAATCCGGATTTTCAATGTTTTGCGTTCGATTATCTGGACCATGAGCTACTTCTTTTCAAACTGCACAGGTATGGAGTACGTGGCTTGCCATTGCAGCTGTTTCGCTCGTATATTACACAAAGAAAACTACACGTTTGGGTCAATGGTACCAAAAGTGAAACATCAGAAGCAAACATCGGTGTGCCACAAGGTTCAATTCTAGGACCATTTTTGTTTCTGCTGTATGCTAACGATTTGTCCGACTTTATATCTGAAGCTGATCCTGAATATAAGGTTGTGGCATATGCAGATGACACCAATATCTTGGTTACCAGTCCAAACATCACCGAGCTGCCGGAAATGGCTGAGAGAGCATACAACAGAATCATTAAATGGTCTGAAAATAACTTCCTCCGAGTAAACACAGAAAAGACCAGCATTATGAAATTCGCGTTAAAAGATGAACAACATGTCCACATTTTTGATCATACTAACAGAGCTATTCTATCATCTAATTCAGTTAACATGCTGGGGATGATACTTGATTGTCGGACGTCGTGGGGGTTCCACGTTGAGTGTTTGAGCAATAGACTGCGGAGGAGTTGCTATGGGTTGAAATTTTTAGCAAAGCAGTGCAGTAAACGAATTTTAAAAACTTTATACTATGCCACTGTCAATTGTCATATCGGGTATGGTATTCTCAATTGGGGAAGTAGTTCACTAACTGTAAGAGTTCTCCTGCTGCAAAAATATGCCATTAGAATTATTGATAACCTTGGTTGGCGACAATCCTGTAGATAATCATTTAGAACTCTAAAGATGTTGACTGTTATAGGTATTTACATTTATGAGTTGGCTTTGTTTGTTTTCAAAAATAAGCGCGAATTTGAAGTCATCAAACACCAGCATGAATATCCAACTAGGTCTAAGCTGCTTTTAATCCCGCCGAGACATCGAACTACGGCATACCAAAAAACATGTAGGTATATGGGATGTAAGATTTTTAATAAGCTCAATGATGATATTAGGAATGAATCAAATATAGCTGTTTTCAAAAGAAAACTAAAACTTTTTTTGATTGACAAATGTTTCTACACCTTGGAGGAGTTTTTTGTTTAGATCTATGTTTTTATACTTTTTCAACTCGTCACCACTATTTTTATGACCTTTTCATTTGTTATAGAATTTTCTGTTCTATTCAACAATGAAATAAATTATTATTATTTTTTTTGTACACTTGCACAAATGTCCTTCTGTCTGAGTGTATCCGTTGGCGAAATCTGTCGCGTTAAATTTGAGCTGCAAGAATTGAATTCTGACGAGCTTCACCGTAAACTAACAACATGTCGGCGAACTCCTGATTCGAGAACTTTGTAAATAAGGACGATGACGTACGCGAACAAAAACAAAACAACACGCCCAATGCCCGACAGCTAACCACTGTTACCATTTGCGATCGATTGCCGGATCGATAAGAGTAATGAAAGACCGACGCTCTGTTGTCATGTGTGTTTTAAATATTTAATTTGGTGAAACTTACTTACTGACTACAAATTTTGGCTTAAGTTAGAAGAACTTAATGCCATTTATTTGTTAATTACCCAACCTAAAACGTTTTAGATTAGATTATAAAAATTAGTAAGATTGCGGTGATTGTGGTCGATATAAAGCACTTAAAGTTGTAAACCATAAAGTCATTTAGACAAAAATCTATTGACTTTTGGACCATGGGTCATATGTAGTTTCTGACTTGTTTTGAACTCCCCCTATTACG